CGAGCTGGCGATCCCCACCTCAGTTCCTCGGCTGATGGGATAGTGCATGGTCGTGTGGCTCCAGCTCCGGTCTTCTCTCAGTGCTGTGACTTGTTTTCAGTGCTGCTCTTACAGTGGTCGTGTGAGCTGGGAGTAGTATTCTCAGGTACTCGGGCTGCATGTGCTTAGGGTCACCTTCCCTGAGTGCCCTGTAAGTACCTCTCTTGGGGCTTGGGGGTTGCCTTCCACAAGTCACCTTGGGTCTACCTCTGTTGGCTTTTCGCTGCGTGGCGTTTGGCCGCCCCGAGGGTTTGGGGGTTTTACTCCCTTGTTTACCTTGGGGTAAGTGGTAGTTATAGCACTGGTGGGGCGCAGGGTACTGCGTAGCTAGTTTTCACCTATAACAGCGGCCGGCTTTGTTCCCTCTGGGTACGTTGTTCACTTGTGTGTTTTTTCTTTTCTTTTTGTTTTTGCCTGGTGGGGGTCTGCCTTGTGTTCCCTCCCCCTTATATTAGGGTCATTTGTGTGGTGGCACCCCCTGCTTCACCCTCACGGGTGGACACGTCCCATGGGTTCAGCTTTAGCAGTTTGCTTGGTAGTTTGGGGTGCTGGTTAGCAGTGCCCTGCCTGGGATAACCCTTAGCAGACCAGTCTAGGGGCCCTGGGAAACCCCACGGGGGCTCTCGGGTCCGATAGTGGAGACCCTTGCGTCCCCTCTCGCTTTGTGCGAGTTGAGGGTTGCTCTGTCCCCTTGTCTCAGGGTGAATCTCATTGTTTTTGCCTCCGTCATGCTGCCTGTTGGGTCAGTGACACATTCGACCCTGAGTCCTGCGAGCTGTGTTGCTTGTTCGTGGCTCATTTCACCAAGTCTGCTGATGAATTACCTTGGGTGTAGGCAGCTCGTGCGTTGCAGGGTAGGATGTTGCAACAAGCTCGGGTTGTTGCTTCCCCAGACACCCGAAGACTGCCCCGCTTTGTGTAGGGAACCAGACTTGGGGGTTTTGGTTGCTTCGGCCTTGGTTCCGGCCACGCCCCCTTGTTTTTTCCCTTCGGTGGTTCATTCTGTTTCCCCCTCCTGCTTCTGGCCCCTAGGTGTCTGAGGGCTTCGGGGTCGGGGCGGGGTTTAGAGGTTTCTGAGACTTGGGCAGTTTCGGGGGTTGCCCCATCTGAGGTAGCTGCGGAGGCATTCGAGTCTGTTCCTCTGGCCGATGCTCTGGGGTCTGACCAGTGGGCCCCTTCTTTTCCAGCTCTTTCGGCTGCCTGCCCCGGCTTTTTCTTGTGTTGCCGGGGCTTTGGAGGTCGACTTGGCCCCGGGGCCTGGTGTAGAGGCTCCTGGGGTTGGGGAGGAGCTGCCTTGGGGGCCTTGGGCTCCATTGGACCCCGCCTGGATTTCCGTCCTTCTGAGCGGGTCTTATTGTTGCAAGGAGGGGGGTTTTCTTTTCCCCCCTCTTCGTACGATTTGGACTTGGGTTCTGCTCCTCCCCGGGTTCGGTTCCGTGTCCCTGTGGTTTCTTCAGTTCCGTCTTCCAGAGTTTTTGGGTACCCGCATCACTCTGCCTGCGGTGCGGTTGGCCTTTGCGGCTTACCTCCTGTGTGACCCGGAGTTTGCCTCCGTACTGGTTCCTTCTTCGTTCAGGTTTGGATCATCGTGTCCTTACTGGGTGCGTTGTAAGGTTCCGGGTTCATCTTGGCTTGCAGACTGCCCCTTGTTTTCGCTGGATGCTTGGGACTCGTTCTGTCGAACCCACACATTTGAGTGGCGAGAGGCGTTGATGGTGGTCCAGGTTTTCCTGGGGGGCAATTTTGCGCATCTTAATGAGTGTCTTTTCGCTCCTACCCTTCTGCAGGATGTTGGTGCGGTGCGGCTCCTTGTGCAGGTTCCTTCCCTGTCGGCTGCACTTGTGGCGAAGGAATTGCGCGCTCGTGGATTTTTGGCTTCAGTCCTGCGTTTCTTTTCCCTCCTGGAGCTGTCTTCGGATTGGCTTGCAGAGGATGTATAGGCGCTTGGGGACGTTCCTAAGTCTGGCACCTTGGTATCTGCTGCTCGGGCATCGTCTGCCATGTTGAAGCTCTTTGCGCCAGTCCTGCAGGAGGCGTTGCTACAGTTTTGTTGTGGGGGCATCAGTGCTACCGCTTTCATTGTCTCCCCTTCAGATTGTATCTGGCTCCTCGCATGTTCACACGCCTTACCCGGGTCGTGGTGGCCCGTTTGCGTTTGTTACGTGTTCGAGTGTTGGCTTACCTCGACGACTGGCTGGTTGGGCTCCCGGTCGGTCCGCATGTTTGCTCGCCAGGGATTGGTGTTTCCCAGCTCGCTGGGTTCGGGTTCCTGGTGAACTGGCAGAAGTCCCGTTGGTTCCCTACCAGGTTAGGTCCTGGCTGGGTCTTGTGTGGGACTCTCGTACCACTTCCTTGTCTCTTCCTCTAGAGCCTCTCCTTCAGCTGCGGTCTTGCCTGTGTCTGTTTCTGAGGGGCTCCTAGGTCACCCGGCGGTTGCTCGAGGGTTTGTGCGGGGAGCCTGAACTTCGCGATGTTGTTCTGCCCGCTGGGTTGGGTTTGGCTTCGTCGGCTGTTCTGGTTCCTTCAGGGACGTCCCCTCCGCCTCGCGCGCAATCGCTGGGTTCGACCCCGGGGGCTTTGAGTCGGCTGCTGCATCGCCGGCTTCATCTACAGGTTTTCGGGGTTCAGTGCCTTGGCACCTGCCCGAGCCCTCACTTGATGTGTTTCCGGATGCGTTGTTGCTAGGCTGCGGCTTTGTGACCAGTGCTCTCCAGGCCGGCCAGGGGCGGTGTGGTCCGTCCTTCTGTCGGGTTCGCAGCATTGTGGTCCGTCCTTCTGTCGGGTCCGCAGCATAGTGCGGGTGTTCGCGGCAAAGTGGTTTGCTCTTCGGTGGGTTCGGGTCGCCCGCGTATTGACGTTCCGGCTCCATTCGGACTGCTCTCCGGTGGTTCCTTGCCTGAACCGAAGGGGTTCATTGCGGTCCTTGACTCTTTGGGGTTGGTCGCTTCGGGTGACTTGTCTGCTTAGTTCTCGGGGTTTGGCTCTCCTTCCGTTGGTTCTGCCAAATGTTTGGGCGCCCGGAGGTGGACCTCTTCTCGTCAGCGTGGTCGAGGAGTCTTCCGTTTTCTGTGGCGCCCTTCCCCGACTGCGAGGATGTTAGGTTTGACGCCTTTCGGCGGGTCTGATCGAGGTGGGGGTTCCTGTACGTCTTTCCCCAGGTTCAGCTGTTGTTCCTGGTCCTGGCTCGCTTGGAGGCTTTCCAGAGTTGTGTGGTCCTCTTGGCCCCGTGGTGGCCAGCCCAGCTATGGTTTCTGGTGCTGCTTGCACGGTGTCCGAACCCGGAGGTTTTTCCGCAGTTCCGCCTCTTTCTGGAGATCAGGCCGGTCTGGTACGAGACTGGTTTGTTCTTCTATGCGAGTCTTTGTATTTGGTGTTTTTGACTCGTGTTTCTCACCATCCCTATGGTGAGTAGATGGCTTCTTTGTTGGTTTCCCACCTGCAGGTTTCTCTCGGTGGCGGTATGAAGTTTAATGGCGGTCCTTCCTGTTCTTTTTTGCCCTTTGTCGTTGTTCCTCGCTTTCGTTCAGGTGGTGGTGTCCTTTCTCTCCTGGTTGCTCCAGGCCCATCATCTGCTGCCTAATACTGTCGCCTCGTATTGTGCGGCGCTGGCGGAGCCGCTGCTGCTAGCTTTCGGTATCGGGTCCAAAGTCTCAACTTCGAGTTGAGGATTGGAGCACCGACCGCCTCCTGGGTAAGTCCCCTTGTTTTATTAAGTAGTCTTTGGGGAAGTAGCTTTGGGGAGCTGTAGGGGCTTTCCCCAGTAAACCAGGGTTGAATGTAATGAAACTCCATTTTCTGGGTCAGTCCCGGAGGCTCCCCGGCACCCTTCCGCCCTCCGGTCAGCGGTTTTTCGCGATTTTGATATCCAGCCTCAGAACTGGGGCGGGGATCGCCGGCTCGTGGGTCTGGAGGCTCCCCATTTTCCCTCCCAGGAAGGGGGGAGCTGCGCAGACATGCAGCTCGGCTCGTGTGATGTCATGCTTGTCTGTTCGTTTTTCTTGGGGAGTTCTGTCCACTCGTTTGTCGATTTTCGTTGTTAACCAGAATAGGGATTTGTTTTGTGGCGCTTACCTTTCTGGGTGCCTGTCCCAGTCGATGGCAGATATAGAATGCTCCAAATCACATGTGCATTTCTATGGGCCATTGCTCCCCATGGCTCTGTGAGGGGGCCAGGTTTTGGCTCGTGGTCCCCGGTAGACCTAGAACTCCACCCACACTGACTGATGCAAAATAGTTAGGTATCCATATCAGCCATGGATAGCTCTGGGGAGCCTCCGAGACTCGCCCAGAAAATGGCGTTTCATTACATTCAGCGCTGGTTTTTTTAATGACAATGTGATGTCTCACTTCAGACAAGTGTTACAACATAGGGAAAAACAAGTGTTGCTAGACAGGTTTTTAGTGAGAAAAACAAGCAGGTCCTAGTGGTATGCAGGCAAAACGTAGGAGAGCTAGAGTACCCCAGAAAAGTCATTACTGCCTGATGTTATAATGGAAGGTGACTTCCCCTTCCAAACACTAACACCTCTTCTCCCTCCCTCCTCCTCACCGTCTTCCATATGCCAACATGTCCTCATTCAAGATAAGATATACATACTGTATTGTAGTGTTATTCGGTATAAAATGTATTTTTAAGTTAATATTTTTTGGGGGTGTGGAACGGATTATTTCAATTCCCATTATTTCTTATGGGAAAATTTGTTTCGACTTACAGTATTTTGACTTATGATCCGTCTTTGGGAATGGATTAAAATTGTAAGTCGACGCCCCACTGTACTTCGAGTTTGCAAAACATTCTCTAGTTTACTCTGCTTTTAATGAAAGGCACACAAACCCAGAAGGTTAGCATAAACACTGTACATCTTGGGTGAGTTTAGTTCAATTTTTAATGCAAAGTATTTTCAGGTCAATGTTGTGATTAGTAGTATTATTTTCTTATGCCACTTTTTCTCCTTGATCAGTGTCCATACAAGACTGTGCGACGTGAGCACTTTTTAAGACACATAGAAAATGTGCATCAAAACTACAGACCATTTTTGTGTGACATCTGTGGGAAAGCATTCAAGAGACAAGATGCTCTGAAGTAAGTGACCAACATTTATTTTGGTTATTTTGCCATTAATTTTGATAAATTGACACATTATTTTTTTGACAATGCAGTACAAATAACTGTTGACCAGTAAACACACTAGAAGGTGAAGGGACGAAGACGTTTCGGTCCATCCTGGACCATTCTCAAGTCGATTGTGATGAGGGAGGTGATGAAGGCAATAAATAGACAAAAGAGAGGTGAGGAACAAGGCAAAAGGCACAAACGGTAAGATGTAGTAGAGGGGATAGTAGTAGGAATAAGAACTGCAGAAGGCCCATTGGCCCATATGAGGCAGCTCCTATTATAACCACCGAATGAGAAGGGGATAGTAATAGGAATAAGAAGAGGATAGCAAGGGAACGTAAGAGAAAATAATGAACAGAAAAAAAAGAAAAAGAAAAGGAAAGAGAAAGAAAGATCAATGGAAGGGTAAGCTTATGTTAGGTCACGTTTATTAGAAAGATTATAGCATTTGAGTATATACTGTGAAAGGGAAGAGTCAACAGCAAAAAACCAGGACTCAAGTTCATGTTGGGTACGTTGTGTATTTAGAGCCGATTCAACAAGAATCTTGTTGATTGGACCGAAACGTCGCCGTCCCTTCACCTTCTAGTGTGTGGTCTGGTCAACATACTTCAGCCACGTTATTGTGACTCATCGCCTGCATACAAATAATTGGTGCAACTTCAATAAATATCTTTTGTATTTATTTCAAGCAGAATACCTGTAATCATAAAACCAGCGTTGAATGTAATGAAGCGCCAATTTCTGGGTGAGCAATGGAGGTTCTCTGAATCTATTATAACTAATTCAGTGCCATACTACTAGGTTCCATCAGTGGCAAAGTTCTAGTGACCTACCAGGGACCAGGAGCGAAAACCTGGCCCTGCAGAGAGGCACAGGGACCAGTGCCTTATGACACTTTACATTTAAAGCTATACTTTATATTTAACCATTGCACTGCTCCACATTATAATATGACACCCCCGTTGTGCATTGAAAAAGAATTATTTCAAAAAAATTATTTCCTCTTATATTGTTAAAATGCAGTCTCTGATCATGGAAAACTAAAATAAAATATTGTATGTGACACAGCTCTGATGGAGCTGAGAAGTTGAGCAATTTATGGGCGCTGAGTGAGTAGGCACTCGGACACATCCGACCCCGCCGCCTCATCGGGCGACAGTTGCTGCGAATGTCATTTTTCACAATTATATCAATGTCTCTCATTCGTTTCTTCTCTGGATTTTTGCTGTAATATTATTCAAAATTGTATAATTTTTGGAACTGATATAGTTAAATGTGTGGAATTGGTTAAGTTTCATTCTTGGAGCTTAGGTTAGGTTGTCCTCTGTTCGGACAACAGTTAAAGGCTATACTCAAACATATTTAGCTCATATATGGTGACACCTATATTATATTCTCAGATCAATCAAACAATGTTTGTGCTGTATTACACTATATACACGTGGTATATATATAAATACATTTTTTGTGCACCATAATGAACTACAAAGATCGTGTGTTGAGAGTTTATATTCACAGGACAAGATTCCAAAGTCAGGCTAACAGCCAACAGTGAGTGTGGCAGGGACTGCCCCAAATACATTTTTGCATAATTATTTCAGCGTTTGTAAATGAGTATATATCATAGTTTTCCCGGAGCTATCCAGGCTGATTTCGCTATATTAGACTTTGTCATCGGTCATATGAATGGAGTTCTTTAGGCCTACCAGGTACTACGAGCCAGAACCTGGGCCCCCCCTCAGAGAGGCACAAGGAGCAATGGCCTATAGAATCCCCCGTGTTTTTGGAAGCATTCTATATTTGCCATTGACTGGGTAAAGTACCTAGTAAGGTAGGCGTCCCAAAACAAACCCCCTATTTTAGTTCAGAAATTGCTGCTGAAAGCCGAACGAGCATGACGTCACCACATCACCACGCCGCCATCTGCGCAGCTCCTCCCTTCCCGGGAGGGGGAAAGGGGGAGCCCCAGACCTCTCGTACCGGCTACCCAAACCTCTCAGTGCTGAGGCTGATGCGCTAGGCTGAAGTCGTGTGCTCTGGCTCCTGAATTGTCTCCAGCTCTGTGCCTAGTGGTGTGGGGGCTGTCCCATTGGGGGTGCGCGACCCAGGAGTATTTCTTCAGTACTCGGGCTGCATGTGCCTAGGGCTACTTCGACTTACGACCTGTCTCTGGGAACGGATTAAATTCGTAAGTCGAGGCCCCACTGTACTAGGTGAATGCGGTTATTGTCATGAATATTATTAGGGGAATGCAGTCATCATCATATGACGATTTAAATAATTACTGTCTTGATTTTTACATGTATGGTGAAAATATGAATATAATAGCAATCTGTGGATGTAATGGAGTTTACCGTGACCCATGAAAAAAATCCTGCTACCATTTCATGGTTATGTGTACTGGGATGAGCCTGCCGTAATAGGGCCACACAATGGTGGCCTATGACTTTCTTTCTTAGATCAAGATTTTAGATTGTGGCAGTGGTGTGTGACACTTGCTTGTTTGCTTGTTTCCATGGGATTTGGAGGGAGTTCTGCCTCTCTGTTTGGTTTTCAGTTGCAATTTTCTTACTCTGTGGGGTCTGTTTTGTTATGCCTACCCTTCTGGGTGCCTAACCCCGGTTGATGGCAGATTAGGAAAGCCTCTAACCACAGTGGGATTTTCCAGGGGCCATTGCTCCCTGTGCCTCTCTGAGGGGAGGGGCCAGGTTCGGACTCATGGTCTCCGGTAGGCTGAACTCCATTGACTAATGCCCTATTCTTACATTCATCCTATTCTTACATTTTTACCTGCTCTTCACCTCACTCTCTTACCTTATATTTGCCTGAACCTTCCTCTGTTCTTTCACGCGGCTTGATAATGATCCCGGACGGACCGGGACCATTTGTTGCTTGATCATCATATGTTCAGCCATATTATTGTGACTCATCCTCTGTGCCTGGCTGTTGTACCCGGTAGGCCAGCTAGAACTCCTGATGCATCCCAATAGATGGCACACTATCAGTAGTAGAAGCATCTGGTAGCCAATTGGGCTCACCCAGAAATTGGCATTTCATTACATTTAAAGCTGGGTTTTTGGTGGAAAACTAGATGGCAACCCCACGCTACCTGGGGTTGTCTGGGCGCCTGACAGCTGAGTGGACAGCGCTTAAAATTCGTAGTCCTGAGGTTCCGGGTTTGATCCCCGGTGGAGGCGGCGACAAATGGGCAAAATGTTTCTTACACCCTGATGCCCCTGTTACCTAGCAGTAAACAGGTACCTGGGAGTTAGACAGCTGCTACGGGCTGCTTCTTGGGGGAGTGTGTAACAGAAAGGAGGCCTAGTCGAGGATCAGGCCGCGGGGACGCTAAGCCCAGAAATCATCTCGAGAAGAATCTCAAGATAAGATACCTCATCAGCCAGCCAGCTTACATAAACCCTGGTGTCCCTGATGGGGTATGCCACTCATATAGGGCCTCATATTTTTTTATTTCAGATAAGTGGTGTTGTCATCCTTGGAACATTTGTTTCTTGTGGGGCCATTTGTAGTATTGTACTGTATTGTTCTCAATATCTTCACGTATGTTCTATGCCACCTATAATGCTTGTACCCTGACAATAGAAAGACACTCACATGATTCCAGCTCACTCGGCTAAAGCATCAGATAAGACAGTTTTAAGAGTGAGCAAGTGGGAAAAACACTAGCAAGCCACTAGAAACCAGCACTTTCCATCAGCAAGCCTTTCAAAGGGTTAAGAGGTCATGTACTACCTGGAAATGAGATACCTTAAGAGGAAGCAGCTTATAGATGAGGCACCCTGAAATTTGCAGGGAAGATAACCCATACCATGGCACCCAGAGCAAACTGTCAACACAGAACATGCATAAGGTGGGGTGGCACAGACATTAAATAACATTAAGATATGCACATCAAGCAAGATGTGTGCACTACAGAATGAAAAAGCATTGTGAAGGATCTAGTAGTAATCATGTCAGAAGACCTTACCTTTAAAGAACACAATAAAGTAGCTGTTATGACTGCAAGAAAAATGACAGATTGGATAACAAGTATCTTCCAAACAAGGGATGCTATACTAATGATGATACTTTTTAAGACACTAGTGCTCTCTAGGGTGCAATATTGTTGCACACTAATAGTCCCATTCAGAGTCAGAGAAATTGCTGACCTTTAGAGCTTGCAAAGATCCTTTACTGCTAGAATCCACTCTATAAGTCATTTTAATTATTGGGACTGATTAAAAGGTCAAAATTTGTGTTCTCTAGAGCCCAGGCAAGAGAGATACATAATAATCTACACATGGAAAATTTTAGAGGGACTGGTTCCAAATCTGAACACAGAGCATCATAATCATAATAAACATCATAATGAACATCATAATTACACTTACCGATAGGTAATGACATGAAACCAATAGGCATGGCAGGATGTGCAAAATAACCCCTTGAAAAGCAGAGATGCAATAAGTATGCTGAGGGAGAATTCTATTAACATCAAGAGTTCAAGACTTTTCAGCACTCCCGCTACACATAAGGGGCATAACTGGCCGGCCTCTCACAGTGTTCAAGAGAGAACTCGACAAACACCTCCAAAGAATACCCAATCAACTAGGCTGTGATTCACACGCATCCAACAGCCTGATTGACCAGGCGATCAACCGGTAGGCCTAGTCGGATACCGGGCTGGGAACCACGGAATTGATCCACGGAACCTCTACAAGGTAACCAAGATATGGAACAATACCATTCATCGGCCCTGCATGGAATAATTATTCCAAAGATTCTTAACGTTAGTTATCTTAAAGTCAAAATGTGATAGTGGGTCCAGCAAAGCGGAGTGCCCTTGGATGCACACCATGCACATAAATAATGGGAATAATGGGCTGGCTGGGAATCTAGGTCTCCTAGGCTGTCATCTGGTGGTGAGGAAGTGTATCTCGGTAGATGACTTTGCTACAGTTATGGTTGCATTGTTATTATCAGGGTTACAACTTTTTCCAACCAGTTGCTTGTTTTGGAGGGCATTTTGCTTTCTAGTAGGATTTTCTTGATCTCTTTGAGGGGGAGGGGGCAGATTCTAGTCTTCATCCCAGGTAGGTGCTTGTGTGTTTTCAGAGACCTGGTGTATTTCCCAAAGCTTGGCTTCTTGTAGGTTTTACTGAATTAAAGTACCATAAAAGAATCCCATTATAGTTTAATATAAATATTTTTTACTTATACTACTTCAGGCAGCACTACGTGTCACACTATCAAAAATTGGCAGAGGGCAGCAGTGGACAAGTGGGACCATATGGATTTGTATGTCATATATGTCAAAAGATCTGCAGGTCTGCAGCTTATCTTAAAGAGCATATGGTATGTTTATATAATTTACATTATTTTGGTTAAATTAGTTAGAAACATCCCAGAATTTGCATCTGTTCATATTATTACATGCCATATTTGACTTTAGGACACTTTTGTACACTGATGTATATTTAACTGTTGTCAAACATTAGCCTTTTCTGGGGGGAGCCCCTTCGGCTCCCCGGAGCTGTCCGGGCTGATATGGATATGTTAAATTTTGGCATCAGTCATGTGAATGGAGTTCTAGGCCTACTGGGGACCACAAGCCAGAACCTGGCCCCCTCAGAAGAGGCACGAGGAGCAATGGTCTATAGAAATCCCCGTGTGGTTGGGAATATTCTATCTGCCATTGACTGGGTCAGGCACCCAGAAAGGTAAGCGCCCCAAATCAAACCCCTATTCTGGTGAAAATATTGCTACTGAAAGCTGAACAAGTGGACAGAACTCCCCAAAGGAAAAAGAGCTAACAAGCATGACATCACCACGTCACCACACCGCTGTCTGCGCAGCTCCCCTCTCCCTGGGAGGGGGGAAGGGGGAGCCGTAGACCTTCGTGCTGGGGATCCACACCCCAGTTCTTTGGCTGATGTGATAGGCAACAGTTGTGTGACTCTGGTGCCTGGTTTCTTGGATTTCAGCTCTGTGCCTTATGGTTTGGTGCTGTTTTTTCTGGTGGTGCGTGAGCCGGGAGTAATTCACAAGTACCTGTAGGCTGCATGCGCTTAGGGTCACCTTCCCTAAGTGCCCTGTAAGTACTGCCCTTGGGACTTGGGGTCTCCTTCCACAAGTCATCTTAGGATCTACCTCTACTTGGTATTTTGCTGCTCGGTGCTCGACCGCCATGAGTGTGCTGGGGTGTTTTCATACATCCCTGTTTGCCTTAGGGTTAGGGGTAATTTGCTCTGGTGGGGCGCAGGGTGCTGCACAGCTAGTTATCACCTATTATAGCGGCCAGCTCTGTTCCGCCTGGGCACGTTATCCTCTTGTGGGGTTTTCTTTTGTTTTTGTTTTCTTGCCTGGTGGGGGAATCTGCCTCTGGTTGGTTGCCCCCATTCTCTATACAGTATATATTTCTTTGTGGTATCCCCTGCTAGGCCCCTGTGAGTGAACACATCCTGGGGGTTCAGCATTTAGTAAGTTTTGTTGGTAGACTTGGGCACCAGTTCATAGTACCCTGCCTGGGCTTCCCTTAGCGTGTTTCCTGTCTAAGGGTCCTGGGAATCCCCGCGGGGGCTCTTTGGTGCAATGGATGCGTCCTCTGAGTCCCCTCTCGCTTTGTGTGAGTTTGAGGGTTACTCTCTCCCCTTGTCTCAGGGTGACATTCACCGATTCTGCCTCCGTCATGCTGCCTGCTGGGTTGGTGACACCTTCGACCTAGAGTCTTGCGAGTTTTGTTGCTTGTTTGTGACTCGGTATACCTAGTCCACTGATGATTGTATTCAGGTGCAGGCAGCTCAGGCATTGCATACTCGGTTTAGGTTGCTGCAACGCGCTAGGTTGGTTGTTGACCCAGAAGCCCTGAGGCTGCCCCATTTTGGTTATAGAGACCCAAACTTTGGGGTGTTGGTCACTTCGACTTTGGTTCAGTCCATACCCCCCTCATTCATCCTCTGCTGTAGTTTGTTTGGGTCCTTCCCCCCCCCCCCCTCTGCTTCCAGCTCTTAAGTATCTGAGGGTTTCGGAGTCATGGCAGAGTTTAGTTGGTTTCGAGACTCGGGCAGTCTTGGGGGATGCCCCTTCCGGGGCGGTGACGGAGGCGTTCGAGCCGGTTCCTCCTGCGGAAGCATTGGGGTCTGATCAGTGAGGCCCCCCTTCCTTCCTACTTTTCCGGCTGCTCTGCCCTTTTCTTGTGAGGCTGGGGTTTTAGAGGGGGGCTTCCGGGTAGCAGCGGAAGAGCAACGTGACAGTGGTGACGGAGGCGTTCGAGCCGGTTCCTCCTGCGGAAACATTGGGGTCTGATCAGTGAGGCCCCCTTCCTTCCTACTTTTCCAGCTGCTCTGCCCTTTTCTTGTGAGGCTGGGGTTTTAGAGGGGGGCTTCCGGGTAGCAGTGGAAGAGCAACGTGACGGCGGGGGGTAATGTTTGCTTGTTTGCTTGTTTCTTTGCAATTTGAGGGAGTCGTAGAACCTTGGCGGGAACCTTGGGTCCCAGGTTGCAGCCTGTTGTCTCGACTTAGCGTTGTGGAGTTTGTGGCGGCCGCCTCCTGAGTCAGCCCTTTCTTTTCCTTTTCTTTGGGTATGAAGCTCCAGGGAGCCGTAGGGGCTCCCCACAGAAAACCAGCGTTGAATGTAATGAAATGCCATTTTCTAGGTGAGCCCCGGAGGCTCTCTGGCAACCCTCCCTCCCACCGGTCGGCGTTTCTTTTTTTTTTGCGTTGGTTGAAGCTTAGTTTCCGAACTGATGTTAGGCAGCCGGCGCGGTGAGGTCCGGGGCTCCCCCCCCTCCTCCTCTCTGGGTGGGGAGGGTTACGCGGACGATCAGCGCGGCAGGTAAAGTGTGATGTTTGCTTGTTTCCTTGGGATTGTAGGGAGTTTCTACCTCTCTGTTCGTTTTTTTGTTTTAATTTTTTACCATGTGGGGTTTGTTTTGTTATGCCTACCTTTCTGGGTGCCTAACCCCGGTCGATGGCAGATAAGGAAAACCCCAACCACAAGGGGGTTTTCCAGGGCCATTGCTCCCTGAAACCTCTCTGAAGGGGCCAGGTTCTGGCGCTGGTCTCTGGTAGGTCTGAACTCCTTAGCTAATGTCCCAGTCTAACATAACACACATTAGCCCAATAAGCTCCAGGGAGCCTCCCGGGTTCACCCACAAAATGGCGTTTCATTACATTCAACGCTAGTTTTTTCCTAGGCCCTGTTTTTGTTAGCACTGGCCTCTGGGGGTCGGGTCAGAGAGCTTCCTGCTCTCCTCCGGTGCAAGGGGGTTTCTGCTCTTCTGGTTCTGGTGGTAGGTTTGTACATTTGCAGCCTTCTCCGTCTTTTCCGGTGAAGGACGCGACGGCTGCTTTCCGGAGGGGTCCTTGGGTTATTGATGCTTGGTTGGTTTGGCCAGGGTGCATCGTGTGTTGTGTCCGGTTGCAGCTCTTCGCCATTACCTGCATGCCGTGGCTGGGGATGCACTTTGCATTGATCCAGTTTCCTTCATTCCCTGTTCCAGGGCTTGGCTCTCCCAGGTCGTTCACAGAGTTCTTAGGTCTAGCTAGCCTGCGGTCTATCCTCGCGCCCGTGCTTTTCGGACGTTGGCAGGTTTTGCAGCTGTGTTTGGTAACATGTCTTGGGTGCATTTCAGGCACAGGGATTTGGAGGTCGCACAGGTTCCTGGCCCGCCCTTTATTTTGTGTGAGTGTCTGCTCCTGGACGTTCTTGTGTTGCTTTGGGTCGCAGGTGGCAGCCTGTTGTCTCGACTTCGTGTTGTGGAGTTTGTGGCGGCCGCCTCCCGGGTTAGCCCTTTCTTTTTCTTCACTTTGGGTATGAAGTTCCAGGGAGCCGTAGGGGCTTCCCTCAGAAAACCAGCGTTGAATGTAATGAAACACCATTTTCTGGTTGAGCCCCCGAGGCACCCTGGCTACCCTCCCTCCAACCGGTCAGCTGATTTTTTTGCGTTGGTTGAAGCTTAGCTACCGAACTAGAGTGCTAGGCAGCCGGCGCGGTGAGGTCCGGGGCCCTCCCCTTCCCCTCTCGGAGAGGGAAAGACTGTGCGGATGAGCGGCACGGCAATAAAGTGTGATGTTTGCTTGTTTGCTTGAGATTGTATGGAGTTTCTACCTCTCTGTTCGGTTTTTTATTTTAGATTGTTACCATGTGGGGTTTGTTTTGTTATGCCTACCTTTCTGGGTGCTTAACTCCAGTCGATAGCAGATAAGGAAAACCCCCAACCACAAGGGGGTTTTCCAGGGCCATTCCTCCCTGAAACCTCTCTGAAAGGGCCAGGTTCTGGTGCTGGTCCCTGGTAGGTCTGATCTCCATAGCTAATGTCCCGGTCTAATATAACATACATTAACCCAATAAGCTCCAGGGAGCCATAGGGGCTCGCCCAGAAAATGGTGTTTCATTACATTCAACGCTGGTTTTCTGGGGGGGAGCCCCATCGACTCCCGGAGCTATCCCAGGCTGATATGCTAATGTCAGACTTTGGCATCAGTCATGTGTATGGAGTTCTTAAACCTACTGGGGACCACAGCCAGAACCGGGCCCCCTCAGAGAGGCAAGGAGAGCAATGGCCTATAGAAGCCCCCGTGTGGTTGGAAGCATTCTATGTCTGCCATCGACCGGAACAGGCACCCAGAAAGGTAAGCGCCTCAAAACAAACCCCTATTCTGGTTAAAATTGCTACCAAAAGCCGAACTAGTGGATAGAACTCCCCAACAGAAAACAAGCAAACTAGTGTGACGTCTCACGCCGCCGCGCCGCTTTCTGCGCAGCTTCCCCCCTCCCCGGGAGGGGTAAGGGGGAGCCCCAGACCCTCCACGCCGGCTACCCACACCTCAGTTCTTGAGGCTGATGCTATAGGCGAAGGTCGTGTGCTCTGGCTCCGGTGTCGCTACAGCACTGTGCTTTGCGTGTGGTGTTTGTTTTTGTGGGTGCGAGAGCCAGGAGTTATCTTCAGTACTCGGGCTGCCTGCGCCTAGGGCTGCCTTCCCTAGGTGCCCTGTAAGTACTGCCCTTGGGGCTTGGGGCCACCTTCCACAGGCTCCTCGGGGTCTGCCTCTACTGGTCCGTTTTACCTTTTCGTTTTTTCGGCCGCCTGTTGGGCTCTTGGGTGTTCTGTTCTCCCTTGTTACTGGCAGGTAAGAGGCAGTTTGCACTGGTAGGGGCGCAGGGTGCTGCACAGCTTGTATTCCCGACATAGCGGCCGGCTCTGTTCCTTGGAGTTTCCTGTCCTCTTGTGGGGGTTTTGTTTCTCTTTTTCTTTTTGCCTGGTGGGGGGTTCTGTCCTATTATTACATTCGATTTTGCCCTTCCACGGTTCTCCTCGGTGGCGCCCCCTGCTAGGTCCCCGTGGGGGACCCTA